TGCGATAAGTACCCTGCCCCAAAGCACCACGTTTTTGTCCTCACTCGAGGTCCCCCCACTACCAAAAATCAATGCCACACAGATAAGCCGTCAAAAGGCCCGTCATGCGGAAAAAGCCAACGCAAGTGAAGTGAAAACTCATGAGTGAAGTGAAAAAGCCACCAGCGAGTGACTTTTAGGTTAGGTCACGCAGTGAGGGTGTCGAAATATCGGAACCGTTCGCACGCGCCAATTTGTGTCACGCCCTTTGCCCCCTCGACGAACCGTACTACGCGCGTGGTTGCACATCGTCGATGGAGACCCAATGAGGCAGGAATATTGATATCAAATATTAATATGTGCACTACTTTGAAGTTAGAGGAAAGTTTGACAACAAAACAGCAGGTGTTTCGATGGAAAGTCTTTAGTGAAGTTCAGTTTTGAAAACGACTGGTTTTTTGTACTTAATCTACCCGATCGCAATTGAAAGCATACAGATGTTGCCATTGACTTTATACGCCGACCTTAATCCTTTATTCGAGAATTGTGGATATGTTAGACGAATCTAGATTTGTCATTTATTGTTATTATTATTATATTCTGAAATATGATGTTACGGTGACGTAGGGACCCAAATTAAGATGGTTTCGTGGGTATTAAATTGTATAGAAAAATCTTCAATATATAAAAAGGAAAGAGACTACAAAGGGAAAAAACGGGGGAAAATCAGTGATAAAATATAGAAATATTTTATCATATATTCTGCCTGACAGAAAAAACTGTACAAAGCAGTAGTAATTTTGTCAAGCCATATCACAGAAAAATACGAAATCAAAATATTGAAAGATATATTGTAAAATGTATACAGGTCCAGCGAACTTCATTTGCATGTAAGATTAAAACGTCTTGGCAAAGTAGGCAAATGTTGTAAGCGAAATATCCGACTAAAGAATTTAAAGCCTCAATATGCGATTTGAAGTCTTGATGTTTTTGATATATCTTATGAAAATTAAATGTATCACGCACACGTTAAAAATGTCCTAAAGTTAATTTTTTATCCTGGAAAGCATCTTGCCATTCTTAATTCTGATCTTTGAAAAAAAAAACAAAAAACGACGAGATCCTTTAAATAAATCTTTATCTGAATCCTAACTGATGCTTTTAGTTCCTTCTGAACCTAAGAACACAGCAAAGGTCCAAGACTTGGCATCTCGCGACTTCACACGAAAATTTAAATTGTCGTAATGATACACGATACAGGCCCCGTTGTAAAGCTTTTCGGTCTTTTTTTTTCTTATGAAGTGAAACAACCAGGTCATGTCCAGTAGTGTCTTGTAAAATAACAGGGGGCCAGCCGTGGTCCAAGTGATAACATTTGGAAGTAATTCATCTAATTAGAAATGGTATAAAAATTTCCTTTTTCTTCATACAAATAATTTTTTAAAACTTTCAAAAAAGTTTTTAAAACTCTAAATATATCTGAATTATCTGAATCATTTTTGTAGCCGAAAGCAAAATTTAAACGATTTAATTCTTTCTATTTATTTCTTGCATCCATCGTCTTTGATGGGCGATGGGCCATTTCAAAAACATAGCAAGAATGTCATGTTACAGGTCTTAAGGGATTGATTACGATTGCGTGACAGGTTTGAAGAATTAATGGTCTTTAATCTGGTATCCAAAATAACCTGATACATGTACGCTTAATTCTCGTGTCAATCACACGTCGTGCAGATACTTCAGACTAATGAAAAAAAAAAAAGAAAAAAGAAAAGCGACCACATGACTCCAGAGGAACGAACAAAGGGAACAAAAGAACAAAAAAGAATCAGTATGCTTATCTGTTGTCACTCTATATTTTAATGAACACGTCTCCGGTTTGTCATGACATAACAAAACAAAACACAACACACTAAAATGTTGTAGACTTAATAAAAAAAGGCTAAGAAAAAAGCATTGAAATCGCTGTCAACACCGTAGAGTAATCGGATGACTTGTTTGTTTTCTGCCTGTCGAATCAACTACACATGGGCAGGTAATCTACTATGACTACGTACGTAAACAATTACTTGTCTAAAATTCAAAAATAACCCGCTCTTTTATCTGAAAACCATGTAACATAATCATCTAAGTAATGAAATTACTACCCAATTACATTTTCACACGAATGGAAAGCGCAATGAGGTCTTTTAATGATCGTAGTGAAGCAGATTACTAACAAAAGTAGTGAGACTCGAAAGGGTGTTGCTGAGCAACTGAAAAGTACTTAAGTCAAAAGTTGGCCACAAGATAAAAAAAAATGGAGACCTCCTTTGCCAGGATTAAGACGGCCCATTATCATTTTATAAAATTAAAATTATGAAAAAAAAATTCAAATTTTTTTTTGTATAAAATAATTAAAACTTTATAAGTTATTAGACAACTATTGGTTTTAATTCTCAGTGTGTAATGCTAACTAGAATAAAAGACTCAAAAATTGTTGTTCGTGAAGTTAGGACCTTCTTTTAACTTAAGCTATTGTTGTAGAGGGTTCCTGGTTGTTTACGCGATGTCCCAACTGCAAGTTTTTATAATTTACAATTTACACGCAGATGTCAAACAGAAGTGTTATGCTCTATTGAACATTTACAAGATGGTTGGTAAATACAGCCGAAGTGATATTAATAAAAACACCCGTTTCTCAAATGTTTGTGACGCTTGATCACTTCGTTATTGACAGGGTAGACTAGACTATGTGCTTATAAGTGGAAATAACTCAATATTGACCAAAGTTGATCTGTTTTTAATTGCAATATGTACGTTAAGACATATATTGTATGTATTAGCACGCTTAAATGATTCGAGGTCCCTTTTATTTCTTGGGCTACCTTTCAAAACAATTGTCGTGCGTTTCCGGTTAATGGTAAACACGGTGTCCCACTTTAAGAGACGAACACTTTGAACCACAGACCGCCGAGAAAAGAAAAACAAGTTGCTAAATACCTACTGCACATTTTCACCAAAACTTGCCGATGCATAAGGTGCAATAAATATGCGTATATTTGTAAAACTACCAACTGTTCAATATCTTTCACTTACAGATATCAGGTATTTATGGGTGTAGACCGTGTGTGTGTGTGTGTGTGTGTGTGTGTGTGTGTGTGTTTGTTTGTTTGTTTCGGGGGGGGGGGGGGTAGGGGTTCCTTTTTCCTCTTCTCCCCCAATATTCCTTTACATCCTGGATTCGCCATTGTCCGGCAGTTCTTTTTCTTCTTTCTTGTGATAACTACGGTATGTTTTTTTTAGGAAACTACCTATAAAAAGTTAAACGGTTTTAAACGTGACTTGATAAAAAGATCGAGAATCGTTCGATATCTGAAGTTAGAAAAATCAATAATTTCTAACAATAAATAAAAGAAGTAATCGAAGGCGAACTTGTTTGAAAGCTTTAAATTTCTGGGCGTCTTTAACCTATTTGATGGTAGTGTTTGTGATTCCATAGTCGTAAAAGTAACTTTGTGCTCGCCTGATATTTCTCTTGTATTGTAGTACTATATTTGGTTGCTTTTCTTCAAAAGTAAGCCGTAGTCTTTATTTGTGTTTCCCCAACTTTTGTATTTGCATTCTAATGCATTCTGTTGCGGTACAAGCAAAATTGAAAGCGTTTCACAAAACCTAAAGAACATCAGGCGTTCTATTTCCCGCCCCAAACACCTGGTCGTATAATGTTCATAAAGCAAGTTTATTTATATATTTATTTATTACCTGACCAAACCTTTGTGATCACGTGATATGGGGTCACGACCCCCGTCACAGCTGCCTTAGGGGTTCTAAAGGAGAGAAAACTAAGCCAATCCGAGTCGATAGTGAAAAATAATTGATGATAAATCGAGGCAAAGGTTACAAGTTATAGTTTTTGCACGATGTATATAATGTATACCGTTTCTCTTTATTAGTGTTGTCGCAAATAGCATATCTTTATTTGGTTTCTATATACGTTTATGTTAAAGGTAAAGTCAATTTAATACAAAGATGAACCAGTTTTACGCTTCAATATTAGGTTAGACAACCATACTGCTTTTCATTTATTTTTAACGACAGACGGACAAACAAATTGTGGAAGAAAGAGACACGTCAACGCATTTATACTTCAGTATTTTAACAGCTGTATTTGACAAGAAGTCTGAAGCAATTTGCCGTGCAAGTTGATATAATAGGAATTTCATTTAAAGAATAGAAAAGATTCACGCTTTTAATCTCAGCATTTTTTTTTTGGTATGTACACTGTAAAGATAAGGAAGAATATTCTATCATTATAAACAATGCTTTTCGTATGTTTGTCATTTTCGTCTGGGGTGAATTTCAAATAATTTTTCTAGTATTTTTGATTTTTCACATTCATCTGCAAAATTCCCATCCATTCACAAATGCTTTTGTGTCAGGATAAATTTCTACTAATCTCTTTGAAAGTTTTATACAAAATTTATAATCATTCATGACATTAGACAAAACTCGCGTTTATCTAGCATAGAATGTTTTTACATACTGTAAAGTGTGTACATTTTCTTATTTGTGTATATCAAACATAAGAAGCGAATTATCTTTATATGAAACACAGTTGTGTGGGAATTTTATCTTTAAGTATATTGTTTAAATTAAATCGAAATGTTCTGGATGTAATAAATGATTATGCATTCTTCAAAGCCCGCACCAATTACGAAATCAAAACTCACTGCAAGGGAAAAAACTACCTCCTTTTGCTTTTAAACTTTGTTTATTGATTTTACTAACGATACGTAATATAAATCCTTCAGGCCCGTAGCCAGCAATTTCAAAAGGGGGGTTCTTTTTCTGAAAAAGTGGACCTTTTCCCATAAAAACTTCATGTACCTAGATCACATTTTACCCAGAGTGGACCTTTTCCCAGCAAAAGGGGCGGTTCTTTCGAACCCCCCGAACCCCTCCTGGCTACGGGCCTGTCCTTCCATACCTACATATCGAATTAACATACTAATTCCGGACGCGCGCATGCATTCTTCCAGATTACCGCAACGTACAGAATTGCATATTACTACAGGGACACGACAACCGATGATTTCTATTCCCTGTACTTCTGCAACACGACGACCATTGGAACAGGTACATTATTGGGATTCCAGCTTTTTAATCTGAAATGTTCCTCAGGAGGTTGTGGAGGCGGAAACACAATTGTAGTTGGTGGCAGCGGCGGGTTGCTGTACACGTGCACGGACTATTCGGCGTTCGCCAAAATCTCCACGGGAGAGGGGTCGGAGAATTTCAATGTGACTGGAGATTCGGTTTTATAGTAGGTTTTACAATTTTACAGTAATAGTTTTATGTCGACAATAAAGATTTTATATGATTTTATATTTTAATTTTGACGTAGAATGCTGTTTATTTCTCTTTTGACTTAAAATACATATATAAATATTACTGAAATATGGTTGAAAAGGGAATTAGACTAAAAGTGATCAAAAACCTAACTATACAATCTTTATATTCGTGTCAAATTAATGCACAACTGCAGTATGTTGATAAGTGCATTTCTATCATCACATATGTCTATATTTCAGCTTATTTTTCAATGGCCTTCCAGACTTAATGCCAAATTATAACGGCAGATTGAGACTTCAAAGCACGATCAATGCTACAGTACGGAGTGATACTGGAACGATAAACTCCTCCCCTTGGGCGCCTTTGGTTCCTGAAGTGCGTTTACAAAAAGGGTGCACCGCTACCTTTGATATACCAGGTACAATCATGATATATAAATACATCAAGCATTGTTGTTTTTCTTTCCTTTTAAATGGACTGTAAAAAAATCCGTAGTCGCACTTATACATGCAGATATTACAGTTGCAATTGCTACATCTCTTTACATTTTTGGGATTCAATAGGTCATTAGGGTAATCTGTCACATTCCCATAAGGAGTTTTGTCAAAGCATGCAATAATAACACTGTGATGCCAAGGTTTTGGTCACATTACTCAAATGTTAACACGCGCTAAATAATTACCACTTTCATCTGTGAGAAAGTCGTCTTCTTCTCGTTAATTTTGCATGGAATTGTTTTCGTAGGCCTACATAGACACCGGGTAACACATAATTGTGTACCGATATATAATATAAGAAATATACAGTTTCAAATGTATCTGTCAAATATGCGCTGAAACTGGAGGATATCTGTTTACTTCTAGTATATGATAGTGACGGTGACACAGTAAGATGCCGGTGGGCCCAGTCTGGACAGGGAGAGTGTGCCACGTGCACTGAAGAAGATATCGGGTTCTCTTTGGATGAGGTATGATGCTTTGTTTTTTCATAACTTTACCAATCTAAACCACGTGTAGATAGATAGATAGATAGATAGATAGATAGATAGATATATTTTTATTTTGCCATCTCCGAGCAGCAGAATACAATATTTAACATAACCGTATTTAACGTACGGTAACGTTTCAGTCAATTTATTAAACTCATTTCTCTTAAGATATAGGGCCTGTATGTGACGGAGTTCGGTTGTCAGGTGGAAGATAAAAGGGGGGGGGGATAAAAAGTCAAAACAGAGAATTGTGCTTTCCTCACGTTACTCAGTTACTCAGAAAGTTACTTCCAGTTCAAATAATTGAAATCAAAGTATGTGCCTCCGTGATCTCACTTGGTTTGTCTTCGCAATAATAACAGTTCATAATATAATTAGGCATTAACGATGTTGGTAGTCAAAACGCATGTTGAAAATTATTGTCTTTTTTTCTTTTGAATAGAGTGTTTATTTATTTATTTTTTTTTTCATTTTCAGTGCACGGTTAGTTACAACGGGTCTAACATAACAGAACGACACTATATGATGGCAATAGTTCTCGAGGATTTCGCGAGTTCCTCAAGTACGGCATCCTTTAGTGCAGCACCTCTTCAGTTTCTGGTCAAAATTTATTCTTCTGGTGAGGGATGTAACGCTAGACCCACTTTCACTGCCGACACGCCGATAGATGGCACGACAATCACAGTACCTCCGGGACAGAATTTTACAACAGTTCTATCATCTAGTAGTCCGAGGAGTGGAATAAAGTAATTGCATTTCTTTTAGATATGCTTGGTTTTGCTTGTACAATGTGCTTGAAAAAAATCATTTTCTAAAATTCTTTGAATAATTTTTTTACCATGTTATCGAAGATAATTCAATTTCTAAAATTATTTAAATAATTTATAAAATTACTTTTTAAAATACTGAATTTAGATTATCACTAAGTTGTTCATACAAATTTGCTAAGTGTATAAGTTAAAGATAGCACAATTTTCATGCTCAATAGAAAGGACGGTATTTAAATTTAGCCTCAAAAACAACTTAACAGTGTTGTTCTTAAGAATTATCAGCCTGCAACCTTTTCAATCTAATTTCTTCTGTTATTCATGCACATGAGCAACGATGCCGCCGATGAAAGTCTGTGAAAAAAAAAAATATATATATATATAATAAATTAATTTTTACAATGATGCCATACATAATGTTAAGATATACATGTAATAAATGAAAAAAAAAACAATAAAGAAGAAATTATTGAATTATTCATCTTTTTCATGTAGCATTCAGGAGATCCAGACCGTCTCCCCACTCGGTGCCTGGAAGAGTCCACTGAGTTCCAGTGGTGGACAGTGGTCAGTGCAGGTGGACTGGACGCCCTCTGAGGAGATGCGAGGACGGATGGAGTACCTCTGTTTTATGGCGATTGACTCCGAAGGGTGAGTTGTCTTTATTTGATGCATGGGTAACAATTTCATTATTTTGAAAGTGTTTTTTTTTTTTTTCAATTTAAACACGTAGTTCTGAATATAAAATAAAAAGCCTTGTCATCCAAAGCGTATTGTGTTTAGTAGTTGAAAATATTACACAAAAACGCACATTGCGTTTAACACACAGTTCAACTTAGTGGAAATTTTATATTGACCATGTTTTTACCCTCAATAAATAAATACATAAATAGTTTTATTATTTTTTAATTCTAGGCTGACGTCAGAGTTGAGGTGTATCAGGCTTCATGTTACAGGTACAATTAATTCTCGCATGCATGCATAAGAATAAAATAAGAAGAATTGTCGGCTGAAAAAAATGGTTAAATGTCGTTCACAAAAACTGCTTCTCGGTGTGATAAAAGCTTACACTTATTCAAAGAAGAATATTACAAGTTAAAGCTGAACAGAGAGTTAAACAATTAATCATCTTGATATCCTTTCCACATGCATATGCTTTACACAGCATGTAAGGCAAAAAAGGTAGGAATCTCTATGCTTCTATTGGTTTTTCCTTTGACCGATTTTTTTAAACCCAACACCACATAAATTTCAAAATTTCAGATATCGTTACAACAGAGCCTCCAACGACCAGTACTACAACTATAACCACAACATCGACCTCTGCCACAACGACTACGACCACAACGACTCCAACAACAACAACGTCTACAACTACTACAAGTACAACAACTACAACAACACCAAAAACTACAACAACTAGTACAACATTGTCCACTACAACTACAACAAGAACAACGTCAACGACATCTAAACCGTCAACTTCAACTAAGTTGTCGCAATTGTCTAGTAGGACTTCTCCAGCAAGCAGGATTTCCTCAGAGACATCCACCACATATACTGATATATCCACAAGGTCAAACGAAGGTCAACTTTCATCTACAACAGAACTTCCAAAAGGTAGAGCAAGCACTGTAACCATAGCAACCTCCTGGGTTCTCTTCTGTTCCTTAGCGATGGCGTTTATGACTAGAAGGAATATTTATCCTTTGTATTATTCTTAGAAAATATTTCAAATTTTTTAAATTCACATTAAAAAAGAAAAAGAAAATCATGGTCCAGATTTGGCTCCAATTTTAATACAAATTTAAAGTTTCCGTCCCTACCATCCCGCCGTTCGTTTGTGTGCTAATTATTTGGTGCTTGGTGCTTCGATATTTCACCAATTTAATCCCTGCATGCTGAATTCATTGCCTTTCAAGCAATAATCATAATTAGTCAAAACCAACCTTGTCTTACCTAGTCAAGCTGAAATACACATTCATTTGTTTTCGCAAATTTATCTTTGACTTTGTTTTCTTTTCTTGCACGGCTAAATTTTTCTTTTTTGGTCACTATGTTTGTTGTCTATGTTTCCTTTTAGTAGCATTAAATTTAATAACCTGCACATAAACGTTATTGCACACTTCAACACGATATATTTACTTGTTAAACGATGCACCAATACCGAAGGTGTTTTGCATCTGTTTTGGGGTATTTTATTTTTTAATAATTTCTGTATTAATGTTTTGTTTGCTATTGTTACCTTGCATATCTCCAATACATGTTTGCATTTTGATAAATATATTGCATTTTCGTAATACGTTGTCTATTAAATTTGCACGTGTGTTGCTTTATTGTTAATATTTTGAACCTACGCACCTCATTAAAAGTCCAGAAAATTAGTCAGCTCCTGGTTAAATATTCTGATCTAGTCATGGCCTTTAAAGTCGAAGGCAAGTCAGGGCATAAAATGGATTATTCACAGTGAGAAATGAACCCATTGCTTGTGCCTTCTAGAACCCTCCACATCCGCCAGTGCCGAAATCGAATTAGCAAGTTATACTCTTCAACCAACTGGTGAAACCGGGCTCATGGTTTCAACAGCGCAATTTCATTCAGCCCAAAGTTGGGTAACATCAACATCTGCGCCATCAACAGTTCAAAGTCCCCTGACATCGCTATCTGCGACAGCCACATTTCAGAGTTCAGCAACTGGTGAAACCGGGCTCATGGTTTCAACAGCGCAATTTCATTCAGCACAAAGTTGGGGAACATCAACATCTGCGCCATCAACAGTTCAAAGTCTCCTGACCGCCACATTTCAGAGTTCAGCAACATCGTTATCAACTCAGATCACAGCACAAACTTCGCCATCATCGATCATTTCTTCGGCCGCAAATTCGGTCTGGCCTACGACTGTGATAGGTATTTCGCCTTCCAGCGCCGATGTTTATTCATGGGTTACCTCGACAACGGAAAGCGCTTTTCGGTATTCTTCTGAATTCTTGGTTGTATCTCCCTCAGTAGGGAGCTCAAATTATCCAAGGAACAATAGTAGTAGCGAGACTGTGTCAGTTGTGACGTCACGGGCAGAAACTGCCGTGCTATATACTTCTGTCCCAGAAACTGCAGAATTATCAATTCAAAGTTCAATGACCACGCCTCCTGGGACCGCCTCCATACAAGGTTCGGCAACATCATTATCAAATGCGATCACAGCACAAGGTTTGTCATCATCGATACCTTTTTCGGGTGCAAATCCGTCCTGGCCAACGATCAGGATCAGTACCGATCATCTTAGAAGTATACATTCATCGTCCTCTAGTGAATATTTTAGTCATGAAGTCACTTCGGAGTCATTTGATCCTGGAGGGTCACCCAGTGAAGTCACAACGGGCTTGAACGTCGTGGAGACGTCATTCTCATTTTCTGTTTCTGATAAAGCACAAACAGACATTTTATCTAGTTCAAGAAGAACATTTTCTGGAGGTAATATGCAAAGTACTGTGACCAGTGCTCAGCCTGTTTTGTCCACAGAGACATATGAAACAACGAAAAACTATTACTCATCTATGGAGATTTCATCGCCACGTGCAGTGAGTAGTCGACGTCACTCATTGCAATCTCCAGGCATTCTCCCATCATCTGCGCGTCATCATTCTTCAATTTCAGTTATTTATCCATCATCGTCATCACATTTATCTCATATATCGACATCTACCCAAATGACACAGACAATCAAGTTTGAAAGTAGCAGCTCGTTATTGCCTTCGAACAATGAGACGCGAGGGGGCGTTGATACCCAATCTAGTGGTATGAAATCGTCTTCATATTTTCGTTTTTTTTTTAAGTATTAAACATAACCGTTCAAGTGAATGAAATAAAATTAACGGTTTTCGTCGTCGTAGCTAAAATTAAAATGATTTTTATTACTCCTTCATTTATGATCATTTCGATGTATGGAAAATCCGTAGTGGATAAAATTATATACTTAACATTTTTAGAAATATATTAATTATTTTGATTTTGATTCTAATGTTAAAAAGTGATATATTTGAACTGACTTTTCTTTACATTGCAGCTACCGATCCTGACTTTCTCATGACTTGGTCCTCTCTCGGACTTGCAGTACTTGCTCTTATCGGGTCAGTCATTTCTGTTGTCCACTGTATTCTGACAGGCCGCCACTACGAGCGCAACAGTCAGCTACACACCAGCAGTGCCAAGACAAACTCAACTCAGGGGACGAGACTCAGTTCTGACGTGTCGTCAATGGCAGGTAAGGGATCTTGTAGTTACTTTATACTTCTTAAACTTTAACAGTCAGTCATAAAGGAGTCCAGTAACATTTTATTCCACCAGGCAAATGGGTTTCTCTTTTGAAGTAGAAATGATAAATGTACATACTACATAGAACGCAGTGACCAGTACATGTATTGTGTAAGAAATTAAACGCACCTTCTAATATTATGACATTCTCATTCCAATATGCCAAATTTCTACGACATTTGGCGATTTGAACAACTGGCAAAGACGTTATTTATTTAAAGGAAAATGAAACACACAAGTTTGTTAAATTTTCGTACCATAGAGTTTTTGTCATATTTTAGGAGTAGCGGCATTGGCTCATCTCTCCGAGCAAGGTGACCTGAAACTCACTTGGAGCTTTCATCCATTGGCAACAACAATGTTAAAACAGCCGTTCAAAATCCCTAGACCAAAATGCAAGACAGCCCATCACAGAAACTGGAGAGATTATGAAATCTAAACATTTTCCCCAAAAATACTGAAAAAAGACCTATAAATGTACATGTATGAAGACGGATGTTAAAAGCCGAAGCCTACTGTCTTTCAGGACTAAAAACAGATCATCACCCGAAGCCCTTCTTGCAATGTGGTCTAGGAGCGTATCTACGGAAAAAAGTGCCTATGGCAAGCGCTGACAATACTTATGTTGAAATATTTGACAGACACTTTTCGAAAACTTATAGAAAGACATTTATGACACCCCCTTAAAGTTTCGCCCAGGGCACTTGCCAGTGACTGATATACCCTGTTTACTTCTCTGTGATATGGCAATACCATGACTGTCTCTAACTTACTGTCCGTTTATATCTTATTCTTTATTTTGTCGGTACCCATTTCCCATTACAATAAAGTGAATTTTACAAATTTTATCAGTCTTAATCGGTGCAGTGAAACATTTTCATTAATGTTTACAAATATATTTTTATATATTTGTACTGAAATATACGAAGACCTGGAAGTATATTTTCCAAAAACAGTTACGGCATGCACACAATTTTGTAGTGAAGGGGTAAAGGACCTAATATCTCGTAGTTTTCCAATTGAAACGCAACACAAACACCGTCAAAGATTATGGTTAACTATCCTTTCGAATCCTATCTGATAAAGGATAATGAGGATAAACATGTATTTAATATCCTTTTTAAAAATGCCCTTTTTAAAAATCTTTTTCGGAATATATATTAATATAATATTATTAATTATATAATTCACAATCTCATTCCCTGATGAAGTCTGACAGCAAGTAGACGAAATATTATGGTAAGATCAGACAAATATAAGTAGCTATAGACAAAAGAATCTTCACAAGTCTAACTTCTGATTCCATGAATGGCGAACGTGGGCTTGGTGCTGAAAATTTAATTTTAGTCAGCAGGCCAATTCCCCTAACTTTGCAAAATGTATGGCAGAAGACCTTATCGATTTGTGTGTGTGTGTGTGTGTGTGTGTGTGTGTGTGTGTAAAGAAAGACAACCAATGCTGATTTTTCAGAATAATTTTCACATAGGGGAAACACCTGTAACAGGAATGAAAGTCCTAGGAGTGGAAGTCTGGGCTCCCATATGATTAGTACAGGTTAGGGTTAATTGGAGTATTGGGGTTAGTATATGGACTAATGTCACCTGTACAAAGTAATGGGAAGCGGGCTACGGTTCCTAGCGGACTTCCATTCCTGTTACACCTTGGCTACATGTGAAGTAGGCCCAGTTAGACACTTTTGGACTTGTAGAGTATCGTATGTGACATCGAATATTTGCACGACTTTGAGCATACGAAGGTATGATCACCGGGTTTATTGAACATTCGTGAACAGTTTCAGTAACAGCCTCTCATCGAAAATGAGCTATACCTGTTGTTATTTGCATAACAACAGGTTGGTCATCGTAGTGCGAGCTGTCTTCCCGAATGCTCACTTAGCAGTTAGACAGAGTCGGGTGTAGACGCAACAGTATGTGTGGTGCAGTCAGAAGGTCGAGCTTTTATAAGACGTGGAAGCAATTGNAGGCTTGAACGTCGTGGAGACGTCATTCTCATTTTCTGTTTCTGATAAAGCACAAACAGACATTTTATCTAGTTCAAGGAGAACATTTTCTGGAGGTAATATGCAAAGTACTGTGACCAGTGCTCAGCCTGTTTTGTCCACAGAGACATATGAAACAACGAAAAACTATTACTCATCTATGGAGATTTCATCGCCACGTGCAGTGAGTAGTCGACGTCACTTATTGCAAACAGTCACCAAATGGACAGAGACAGAGACGTATACGTCATCTTTGTCTACTATGCACGCTGTATCTACATTACAAACTAATCATGACGTCACATCATCGCCGGAAGTGACGTCAGGCATTCTCCCATCATCTGCGCGTCATCATTCTTCAATTTCAGTTATTTATCCATCATCGTCATCACATTTATCTCATATATCGACATCTACCCAAATGACACAGACAATCAAGTTTGAAAGTAGCAGCTCGTTATTGCCTTCGAACAATGAGACGCGAGGGGGCGTTGATACCCAATCTAGTGGTATGAAATCTTCTTCATATTTTCGTTTCTTTAAAGTATTAAACATAACCGTTCAAGTGAATAAAATAAAATTAACGGTTTTCGTCGTCGTAGCTAAAATTAAAATGATTTTTATTACTCCTTTATTTATGATCATTTCGATGTATGGAAAATCCGTAGTGGATAAAATTATATACTTAACATTTTTAGAAATATATTAATTATTTTGATTTTGATTCTAATGTTAAAAAGTGATATATTTGAACTGACTTTTCTTTACATTGCAGCTACCGATCCTGACTTTCTCATGACTTGGTCCTCTCTCGGACTTGCAGTACTTGCTCTTATCGGGTCAGTCATTTCTGTTGTCCACTGTATTCTGACAGGCCGCCACTACGAGCGCAACAGTCAGCTGCACACCAGCAGTGCCAAGACAAACTCAACTCAGGGGACGAGACTCAGTTCTGATGTGTCGTCAATGGCAGGTAAGGGATCTTGTAGTTATTTTGTACTTCTTAAACTTTAACAGTCAGTCATAAAGGAGTCCAGTAACATTTTATTTCACCAGGCAAATGGGTTTCCCTTTTGAAGTAGAAATGATAAATGTACATGCCACATAGAACGCAGTGACCAGTACATGTATTGTGTAAGAAATTAAACGCACTTACCCTTCTAATATTATGACATTCTCATTCCAATATGCCAAATTTCTACGACATTTGGCGATTTGAACAACTGGTAAAGACGTTATTTAATTAAAGGAAAATGAAACACACAAGTTTGTTAAATTTTCGTACCATAGAGTTTTTGTCATATTTTAGGAGTAGCGACATTGGCTCATCTCTCCGAGCAAGGTGACCTGAAACTCACTTGGAGCTTTCACCCATTGGCAACAACAATGTTAAAACAGCCGTTCAAAATCCCTAGACCAAAATGCAAGACAGCCCATCACAGAAACTGGAGAGATTATGAAATCTAAACAATTTCCCCAAAAGTACTGGAAAAAAACTATAAATGTAGGGCCTACATGTATGAAGACAGATGTTAAAAGCCGAAACCTACTGTCTTGCAGGACTAAAAACAGATCATCACCCGAAGCACTTCCTTATGAAAATAGAATCGTCTTCACCATCTTGCAAGTGGTCTAGGAGCGTATCTACGGAAAAAAGCGCCTATGGCAAGCGCTGAAAATACTTCTGTTGAAATATTTGACAGACCTTTTTAAGATAACTTATAGAAAGACATTTATGACACCCCCTTAAAGTTTCGCCCAGGGCACTTGCCAGTGACTGATATACCCTGTTTACTTCTCTGTGATATGGCAATACCATGACTGTCTCTAACTTACTGTCCGTTTATATCTTATTCTTTATTTTGTCGGTACCCATTTCCCATTACAATAAAGTGAATTTTACAATTTTTATCAGTCTTATTCGGTGCATTGAAACATTTTCATTAATGTTTACAAATATATTTTTATATATTTGTACTGAAATATACGAAGACCTGGAAGTATATTTTCCAAAAACAGTTACGGCATGCACACAATTTTGTAGTGAAGGGGTAAAGGACCTAATATCTCGTAGTTTTCCAATTGAAACGCAACACAAACACCGTCAAAGATTATGGTTAACTATCCTTTCGAATCCTATCTGATAAAGGATAATGAGGATAAACATGTATATAATATCCTTTTTAAAAATGCCCAGTTCTTGGAAATCATATCAACGTAGAGAATTATTTAATTATTTAATGTGTTTGAGCATCATTTTGTTAGGAATTTTTCTCTGAACATGTGACCGTTCAAATTGAAACAGTTGAAGAGATCAAATTACAAAAATGACGATTTATGCCATTTTCAAACTTTTATTTGGAATGCGCTGAGATGTCAAAGTTGTTTATTATATTGTATTTTTGAAAAAAAAAAAATTTAAAATCCATAGTGGACCCAGGGCCGTAGCCCCCCCTGCCCCCCCTGGGATTTGAGGTGCAAAAAAAAAAAAAATAAATAAATAAATAATAATAGCAAAGGTGAAAAAAAATAATTGCCAAAATCTAGGAAATGAAGTCCAATTGGCGTGTTGTGTTGAAAAAATGACTGTACTTATGGCAAAATGAACCCACAATTTCTGACTTCTGATTGAGCAATAAATAACAGTTAAAATCCACCAGAATGCAGTATTATACATACAGTTTTTAAAATTTTTCCACACCGTGGGAGGGGGACACCCCCTCCCACCCCCTCCCCCCTCGGGGGCTTCGCCCCCTCGTGTCCGCTTACTGCCCCCTCCCTGGCATTTTGCTCAGGCTACGGCCCTGCGGACCACTAATCAGACACAAATCTCGATTTTAACTATGTACACGAGAGACTTGCCATGGGAATTACTAGTAATGCAGAGGACCAGTTGCAGAAATAAATATTCAATATATTGGAGACGGGACCCGCAACTATGAGAACATCACGCATGCTAGGTGCTCAGAATCTATGGAAATTGGCTTCCCACTATCGGGCATCACTTCGTTTGCATGTCGGGGATGTGGGGAGGGGAGGGGAGGGGGGGTTACTTACAGTTACTATATTAATATGTTTTCAAAATGCAATTAAATTTTATTACGCCCAATAGCGTATATCGCGTCAATGTGTTCCGAAGATTCATCATAATAATCGTCTTGAACTTGTTAAAGGAATAAATAAATAGGACTGTCACAAACAGCTATTACGATCAACTATAATTGTTTTAAAGCGTCCGAGCTTTTGGCTTGTGTGCCTCATGACCCTGACCCCCCCCCCTTCGGTTTCTGAAAAATATATCACACCAATATTCGCCTCTTGAAATTAGAATTTTGACTAGCTAAATCATAGTTCTAAACCGTACCAAAGGGCACTGTTTGCTCTCCAGAAAACCAAAAAATTTTCGGGGCCCTTGAGCAGGCCCCAAACCCCACACCAAAAGGGCGGTGGTCGGCTTCGCATCCGAGGTCTGTCGCTCCGGACCCCACCTTCAAATAATTCTGAATCCGCCCCTGTTAACAGTCTGATTGGTAAATAGGTAAAAAATAAATAAATAAATAAATAAACAAAGAGACCAAGCGTGTTTTCAGAAGTCACCCACCAAACTGTATTCGGTCCTTTATACATGTACTCATTCATATGAATCTTGACGTTTTATCAAGGGCCTGGCCACATGAAAGACCCGTCGAAAATCGTGTACAAACTGTTAAATATGTATGAGACTATGAGAAATTCAAAATGATATGATTCATACATCATTGACGTCTCGCGTCTTTGTTCGCGTTAAAAACCTAACTTCTGGTAGTGTAGAACAGTTTCATTAGTTATGTTATTGTAATAGACTTGTGAAGATTCTTTAGTCTATAGCTACTTATATTTGTCTGATCTTACCATAATATTTCGTCTACTTGCAGTCAGACTTCATCAGGGAATGAGATTGTGAATTATATAATTAATAATATAATATTAATATATATTCCGAAATCTGGTAAGATCAGACAAATATAAGTAGCTATAGACAAAAGAATCTTCACAAGTCTAACTTCTGATTCCATGAATGGCGAACGTGGGCTTGGTGCTGAAAATTTAATTTTAGTCAACAGGCCAATTCCCCTAACTTTGCAAAATGTATGGCAGAAGACCTTATCGATTTGTGTGTGTGTGTGTGTGTGTGTGTGAGTAAAGAAAGACAACCAATGCTGATTTTTCAGAATAATTTTCACATAAGGGAAACACCTGTAACAGGAATGAAAGTCCTAGGAGTGGAAGTCTGGGCTCCCATATGATTAGTACAGGTTAGGGTTAATTGGAGTATTGGGGTTAGTATATGGACTAATGTCACCTGTACAAAGTAATGGGAAGCGGGCTACGGTTCCTAGCGGACTTCCATTCCTGTTACACCTTGGCTACATGTGAAGTAGGCCCAGTTAGACACTTTTGGACTTGTAGAGTATCGTATGTGACATCGAATATTTGCACGACTTTGAGCATACGAAGGTATGATCACCGGGTTTATTGAACATTCGTGAACAGTTTCAGTAACAGCCTCTCATCGAAAATGAGCTATACCTGTTGTTATTTGCATAACAACAGGTTGGTCATCGTAGTGCTAGCTGTCTTCCCGAATGCTCACTTGGCAGTTAGACAGAGTCGGGTGTAGACGCAACAGTATGTGTGGTGCAGTCAGAAGGTCGAGCTTTTATAAGACGTGGAAGCAAATGNTATAAAGAAAACGTACATCACTTCTCTAGAAAAATTTTAAGTCTCGCGAGATCAGTAAAATTGTTAGGTGAAAGCCACACACTTGCATGTCCCAGTTAATGATTATTTATCAAGCTACTACTGTACTTTTGTGAATGTCATACTGCGTGTTGATAGTGAATTAACCACTTACCATTCTTCTTCAGCTCGTCTGCTGGGATTTTTGGATTCCCGCCTCTGTTTGACTGCCCGTCAGTTATGACCCACACTACTTTCACATTTTCCCTAACTCCATATTGATCAAAATGTTTCTTGGCCAATCTCAGTGCATCAGCCGTAGCTGTGGAACCGCCTAATATACGGATACAAATAAGGTACAAATTAGATTTCGAAAAAAATGTACATGTAATTTTAAAAAAAAGATTACTTTGCAGCCGTTTTTCAACAAATTACCATTCAAAATTTCATCATCTTATTTTGAGTATTATTTGAACCTTGTTGCACAGTTTACGTCATATTAGAATATAAACCTCAGAAATGTCAACATTAGCATTTAGTTTGAAATTTCATTTTAACAGTGGGACTATTTATTTTAGAAAATTCGCCCTCAGTGTTTTGTTTTAAAGATACCGTATTTAAAGCGAATATTTACTGCCTTACCATTGTCGTAGTCGATTTTCCCGACTGCTGCTTTGATGGCCGCTGCACTACTATATTGGCGTAGAGTGAACTCCACATGAGTTTTGGCCGGAGATGAAAATTCTATCAGTCCAACGTGGGTTCCCGATGGGGTAGTCTTCGTCTTCAAATCAATTACGTCCACTTGTACCTGTGTTTTGAAAAAAAAAAAAACGTTTATAAGATGGTAAGGGCTGATAGTTTGATTTACTTTCTAAATGTACAGTCGCAATGTAGGTGATGCATATATCAGATACAGACACTTAGGGAAACCGACATTTAATATTAATCTTACTGAAATTCCTTTCAAGATCTGGACACTGACAAAAATAATTCCGTAGCTTTCGTTGTGATGCCCGATGTGCAAATTTCATACATCTTATTCCTTCATAGTATCTTTTCGTGGAAAAATTCTTATTGCACATTAACGCATCACCCAGGATCGATTTTCAATAATGTTCTTGCATAAATAATTGAAGTGTGTAAATAATTTTTTGATGATATATCAGTTTATCGATAAATTAATTAATAAGTTTATTTATTTATTTATTTATTTATTTATTTATTTATTTATTTATATACCAAGCTATAGCTTACCTGTATCCCTTTCTTCGCCTTGTCAAAATGCTCAGATCCAATACTACCGCTGCTGTCCAGAACGTACAGGAAATCCAGATTGGGGGTCACGTAGGTAGTTGTTGCCCCCCTTGATGTTCCCCTTGGCCCTGCCGGTCCTCTTACAGAGGGGCCACCGGGACCTGCCGGTCCACGGGGCACCACTACTTTCTTTGGGGTTAGGAAACTGGATATTTTATCAAGTATCTTTTTGGCCACGGTGTCCTGGTCATCGCGCCCTGGAATGGTGAATCAATTAGAATTTTACTGAATGCCATTTTTAATGATTATACGGCTTAATTTTTTCCCTAAATTCATTAAGATGTTAAAATTCAAATAGCTGTCATGCTTGATAACTTCTCCTTCGAAATTCAGTCTTCTTTTCAGTCTGCCATGGGTGAAAATTTCAAGTTATGTACGTCTAGGTTTTTTACCTCCAAATAAGGAAAAAGGTTGAATTCATGATCAGTGGCGTCTTAAAAAAGAATCCCAAGTTATCTCCTCTTTTTGCTCTTTGCATCCTTCATGAGTTTTCTTAAATTTTAGGCGACTCGTTTCTCGGCAGTTTTTCATGAAGTCAAGCATGGTATAAGTGCAAATTCTTCGTTTAGATCCTATATCTTACATCAGTGCAGCCGTTATGAACAAATACATCAATATGTGTTAATTCTGCAGGTTGGTGATGCCAATGAAACGACCACTAGCTCTCACCTCCTTCATTTAAGTAAAATACATTACCTTCTACAATAAAGACTAGTGTCACACAAATAATGAACGCTTGAATGCCTGTTGTTTTCATCTTGAGTGATTTCATGCGTTGGTGCGGACTACACCGTCCTTTTATAAGGTAACCCCACAGTACATTAAGGTTTTAATATGCAACTTTCCCTATTCGTGGTAATTATACGTCGCAGTCCAAGTAGCATCCTTTTCCTTGATAGTTTTAAAATAACGTTACTTTCATGAACGCTCCTGTAACTTTATGTTACCCGAGTCCTAGCCACAAACGCCATAAAACACCTTTGCCTAGTTGAATATTTTATGTGGAAATGATTAACCTTTTAAAACCATACCCCTAATCAGAGTCGCCTCATATGGCCGCATCCTCCCTAAACATTCGCTAAAACCAACGTTTGACAGCTATTAGACCGCTTTGAGACTATTACTATTGTTCCCAGTGGTCCATATACCAAGAAGTGATATTTCCTTGTCTGTTTACCTACTTCTGCATTCGCTTGGATACCAAATAACGGAGTGTCACTTAAAGCCAATAAAGATACTACGTAGAATGGTAATATTCAGGAGGGACCACATAAACTTAACAGTCAGAAGAATATATCCCTGTTTGTGGTTAGGTAAGGCCTGGACAAAATTGGTAATTTTGTCCATGGGTAAAGGTATGCCAGAAAAAGGGGCAACAGTATTTGCATGTGTGCGGAAGACCGCTTTGTCAACATTTATAGGAAATTATAAGGAAGCCTCTTAAGGATATGCTTAAGGATATATACTTTTTAAATTCAGTGCGCGTGCGTGAGGCTGTTTCCAAAACAAGCTGTCCGGCAAATGTGACGTAAATCTGAACAATGACAGCTGTAAACTGGCCAATGACACAGAGAGATTTTTAGTCGGATCACCGACCTGCTGACTCTGTGTGTGGGAAGCCTGAATGGAATTATGTAACGTCAAGGTTGGATGACAAGTTATCAGAGATGTTAGAATAATTGCCTTCCATACTGTAAGTTGAAAAGTACAGACAGATATTCCTTTGGCAGCATGGGACGGTGAAGACGGCAGAGATACTGAGGATAAGAGACACTTGTTTTACTTATATGGAAGATGTTTGCCTCCAAGACATTTCATGCTGATGCCATTTGATCTGGGGAATAAAACGGATGATAAATCTTGAAGCAATAGGGAGCGAACAACCACGTGGCCACTGACGAAAAAGATGGTCATTTCTACCAGGTTGGGAACAGTTTATCTTTGTCTTTTGATTTTGGTATGGATAATGACACTTTGTGGAATTGTTGAAGGTTGGGATTCAAGTGGAGACGCTTACAACGAACGCGGTAGTAGCATAATGTTGATGTTGTACAGTAAATGGAAGACAGGCGTATTTATGATAGTCAGGATATGCGTCACCAAGAAACTAGTGATAAAAAGAATTGTGACTGACTTACATGTAAGTGAAACTGTGCTATTATTGTCGTTCAACCGAGTTATTACACCATCCATGCAATCTCATTTTTTTGTCCTAAGAATCAATTACTTCACATGGCTTCGTGTGACTAGATTCATACCATATAGTACATAGCAGTAAATACATTCTTCTTGAGAAAAACATTACTGTTATCTGTATTGGTTTATATAATTGTAATGTGAATAAATTTGTTTAAAATATTGAATTCTTTCATCATCTGTATACACGTGGTCGACTTGTCGTCGTATTGTAAAATTGCTTTATTTATTTTACCCAAAAATGCCTCCAAATTTTGAACAAGCAATCGCGTTGCATCTATCATTCAGCAGTTAGATAAAATTTACCGAGTCTTGGTGTTAATAGTGGTAACCTCATAAACGCTTTCTAAAATAGAAAAAATCCTAGCTATACTGTTGACTGATATTACCTTTAAAATAATTATTTCTTGAAACTGCTTAACTACGCTGCATTGTTAATTTCAGTTCAGTTCAATGTTCATTTGAATTTTTTTAATCTTTTAATCCCGCCTCATTATTTTTTAAATAAATTTATCCCAAACGTTAATTTTATCCGTACCTTCTACGATCAGATCACACTAGAATCGAACAGAACAAAAAATCTTGTGTAAAGAAATTTTGATAAAATTTGTCCAAAAAAGTCAAGTCGCCGATAAGAACTTAAAACGCGGGGTGAAAATTTGGGTGGGCTACCGGGTGAATAGAGGAAGCGCTGACATGTCAGACTGAGAACCTGAACTTACAGGATTGATTTCCAAATATGGTAAATTTTTGTTTAAAAAAACGAGTATTCGTACCATAACTATAAAGGTGAGAAACAAAGTTTAGGGTGGGTGGTTGGGTGAATAGAGCAACTGGTAACGTTGTTGACTGCAAACCAGAAGGTTACAGGATCGATTCCTAAACACGACACATTTTTGTGAAAAAAAAAAGAGTTTTAGTCCCATAACTATAAAGGGAAGATGCAAAGTTTAGGGTGGGTGGTTGGGTGAATAGAGCAACTGGTAACGTTGCAGACTGTGGACCAGAAGGTTACAGGATCGAGTCCCATGGAACATTCATTTTGTAGAAAAAAGAATTGGACCTCATTGACTATAAAGGTTTCGTTTAAATTTGCGCGAAATTCTTTGGGGCCAATGGCTCAGTTGGTACCACAACCGATTCTAAAGTTATAGAAAAAAGAATAGGAGATCGAAATGGACAAAATCAGATGAAACTTTTTAAAATCGTTATTCAAATAATACTAAGACAAGCACTAGAGAGAAAAATATCAAATCTGAATAATTAAACAACGAAGACGTTGAAAGTTGTGGACAGGCTTTATTCGTTTAACTTCAGTGATATTAACGCGCGGCTCAAAACACACAATATCAAGGAAATAGCATTTAATGTGTTACTACAGAGTACGACAAGCCAAACATCTGAGTTTATTCGGAGTAATCATAAGAATTAAAATTCCCTGTGTAATACAATTAAAATTAACGTGCACACTCATCCAAACTACAAATCACTACACACACACACACACATATATATATATATATATATATATATATATATATATATATATCGCAATCGTGGAAAGGCCACTGGTTATCATGATTCTGTACAAGGACAGCCAGAAATCGCAGATTTTATAATAATAATAATAATAATAATAATAATAATAATATTCGCAAACAATAGTTCAAAGTTTTAAAGGATTGTAAAATACATGTTTGAACGTTAAATATGTCAAATATAGGTTACATATGTTGGTTCAAAAGCTAAAATGGGAAAATGTTGCCTTAAACTGTTAAGTGCACAAACTAGACTGACATAATGTACATAGAAAATCTCATTGAAAAAATTACAACAGACTCGCTCAGTTTTATATATTGGTACAAAATGACGCTGAGAAATATTAACTTTCTGTTGGGATGTTCAGTCAAAAAGTAGAAATCGTAATTGTAATTGTATAAAAGTAAGCAAGGGTCGACTACAAAATAATACATATTTGCTCCCTGTCGTGCACAGTTTGTGTACTGTCTCGCTTTTAGAAACCATTTTCTAATACTATGCCATACCTACTTAAAATTGGAAAAGTCAACTGGCAGTAAGACAGTTAGACCTATTATTTCAAAAAAATGTCGATGGAATAGGAAGCGAAACGGAGTGTTCTGGCATGCAAATTTTCAAATAACCAAACCCGTTTTGAAATCTGGCACATTCTCTCACGTTAGGATTCGCCGATGACCCAAATTTAAACAAAATTGGTAAAGTGCTTTCTTCGTTTTGGTGGGACAATATGTTACAAATATAGGGGCCATATAGTCATTTGCCTCGGGGTTTTGGCCTTACATGCTAGGCAATGCCTACTTACCGTTGTACCATTCAATGTTGAAATCTAAGGCAAACAGTCACTGTAATTCATACATATTCAATAGGCACGTACATAATTTGCAAGTAAACCTTTAATAACACAAAAATGTTAAGAAACATATCAATTTTAACTGTTGGATTACAGGCTTCTTTCAAATGTTCACACTCAGGATTATTGGAATCAAAAGGTGCATTTCGACTATTGTAACTTCTCCATGGGGACATATCTTCGTCTCTTGAATGCACTGGCGACTGAAATAACATATTTAAAATGAGAATTTTAGACACACGAGAAATCGTTTATTCCACGGTTTTAATTCAATGCAGTATTTGTTCTCTTTCATATATATAGTGAATACCTTGTGTTTCTGCTGTTTACGCAATTTCCATATAAGAGTCTATATATATCAAAATTTTAATATTTCAATACTAGATATCGTCACAATATTTACGAAATACAAATCGAACTGGGCATTCCCGCTGTCTCTCAGCTTAAACAGATAAACTGCCAAAAGTTGGGGGTTACATGTACATTTGTACTGTATAAAGACACCCTGGCATATAATACAATTTTGAAATCCTCCATCTTATTTCAAAGTTTTGTGCTCATGTATTTCTGCCAGTAACGAGACAAGCTGGTCAATCGACCTGCAAACTGTAGACTACTAGTACATGTACTTACACGTTGTTGTTGTGGCCGGGAAGAACGGGTATCTTTGAACACACCAGGCACCATATTTTATCCAGGAGAATCGCCATTTCGTCCTGAAATCTTTGCCTAACATCATGGCTCCCTGAATGAATACTTGTCACTTGCAGTTGGCATAATTTGAATAACAATATTGTAACAGGTCAGGTGGGTCGCAGGCTCATGATTGTGTTAGNCGATTGGCCAGTCATTTAAAATGCCATGTCTTTCTGTGCACTTCAGAAGGAAATATCGACGTTAGTTACTTTTATCCGAGGGGTTTTAAAGATTTTAAGGTCTGAATAGGGAAAGATATGTATACATTTACATATGATTTTGCGGATTTTTTTTCAAACGCGTACAGTATCCATTTAAGGTCGAAAACAAGGACTGTCAATACTGCCAAATTTCTTCATAGAGAAATTAGTTATAATAAAAAAAAAACTAGTTCTGCTCTGCAGAAGAAAAAAAATGGAACAAGGGCGAGGTATAATAATCATCCCATATGTTTATTGATACTATGCAGAACAGTTCAGATGAGAATAAATATAAATAAATTATAAATATTATTGAAAGTATAATGCTGAATATATACATTAGTCAATTTATTAAAAAATAAAGCAGTAAAGCACTTGGTCTATGTAGTAGCTCTAGCTATGCCTGCACAAAATGACATGCGTAATGTTCACATATATATAACACATCTACAAAGCCATAAAATATTCAAGACATGCAATCCAGATATACAGAAAACTATTTCAACTCAGTTAAAGTTTTTCATCAATAAAGATTAACATGTGAAAGGCCTATACATGTTTCAATATAAATAATATAGGCCTATCGTTATTTAAATATTATTATATACAGAGATTAAAAAATTTATAGCACTAAGACTATATTCAAAACTGCTGGAACCCAAGCAAATGAATATATGTGTTCTGCAATACATTTAAACTCTTAAAAAAAATTCAACTCTCATCTTCAAAAGACCGCAGGCAATGTTACAATGAGTTCTACCGCAAAATAACAATTTGAAACATGAGGACCAACGCCACCTATTGTTCATGCAGAGTACTAGTGCGCAGTAAGCAAGTAGTTAAACGAGATGCTGGGCCTCGTCGTCTGCCATATCTGAATAAGAGCGCGCCATAGCTTGGGCGATATGATCCTTTGTGTTCCAGCCGGGCCTGGGGAGATGAGGAAGATAATAAATATTATAAAAACGTGTCTGGTAAAAAATGATACGTCTAGTAAACGTTGGGTTTTGTATCTTTAGACATGCAAGGCTGACAATAATGAAGGGGAATTCAAACATCCGCGAACTCCAGTTCAAGTTGATAAATACAAGCAACTTACCAGGCCTGAAAAGAATGGACATGGCATATGCTCTAGAATATTATGTTAAAACGACATTAAGTATATGCTGTTACGGGGTTAAAACAATCTACAAGTACGACGTTAAGCTACATGTAAAAGTATGACATTAAATGTACGACGTAAAACGTTAGTTTCTTTGATGGCAGGTATTATCTTTATAATACGGCATAAAAAATAATATTAAAAATTATGTGAAAACAGACAAATATAAAACAAAAACATTGTGGCTATTGAATAGGTACTGTGTGTGTATGGGTAAGCAAGAGTGTATAAGCTAAAGAGGAAGTCCTCCAGTCAGTGATAAAACGAGTTTAAGAGACAGCAATGAACTCGACATATCTTTTTCGCATTTATTGCTCTTTTTTCTTTTCCATCACTCCCAATTTATTTAATGAATTTGACTCAACAAACAAATCTGACTAGCCGCATAAAATGCCATCGTCACTTTCAAGAAAGGACTAAATGACACAAACTGGAAATGTTGTATTTCGTGAAATAAACTCAGCAATTCTGTCGTGTTTATGAGCCAATATTTGAGTCGGCAGTCTTCGTTTGAACAGCAGTCAACTTTGCGTCTCTCTCTCTCCTGAGGTTGGTATTTGAGATACTCACAACTTTACAAGTCTCCTTTATTTCCGAGGATCCTCTTTAATTCCAAACACATATAGTGCCAATGATTCTTTGCAAATCACTGTTTTATAGATTCTAGGTTAAACAGCGATTATAGGCTAAATTATTCATTCCTTTGTAATTCATCACAAAAATAGAAAATTAACTGCCAGGGTGCTCTTCACGACAGGATAAGCCAGACTCGCAGAAGCTGTTTTCTGCGCCATATGTTTACTACCGTGGTAACTGGCTTTGTTATGTCCCATCTGAAATATATTATGGACAATATGATATAACCAATCGTGGGTAATTATGTCGGGCATACCTTGACATGATCACGTACAAGTTTTTTAAAACAAAGTTTAAGTTATAGATAGGCCTACTAACTGAATGTTGAATTGTTTTACTAAAACTGACTAGATGACTTCCATTGTTGAATAACATATCGTTAAAACGAAATATTCAAATTAAAGGTAGTACAATGAATGTCTTCTCTAAAATACCAAAGGTAGGAAAATTTACTGCTTTTTCCGTTGGCAAGGTCGTTCATATGTAAATATGTTCTTGTACAGGATGCCATAAAATTTCCCGTAGATTCTGTATTTCAGGTTATAGGTATCTGATGTGGTTTGCTGTATGGTAAAACCAATATACAATACAATATCAACATTACCTGATAACGTGTTTCTTCTGCTCGCTAGTAACATAGGTTATCTATCCCAGCATTCGGTCACATAAACAAATTTCGTAACACAAAATATCAAATACGGGGATTTTTGCACACATTGGCCTTGATTACAGAAGGACAGGCACCGCGTGGATAAAGAAAATTAGGCGTATTTCATTTCTTCAGCAATGCTTACTAAAAGATTGGTGTTTGATAGAAAATACGCCATGGCTTATCAACTCAACACTTGAAATCCGTGAGTAGAAAATTTTTTGGTTATATATCCAGAAGCACAGAGTCGTAATTTTTATTGTTGTTTGTTTCCGTTTTCGCCTAGGGAACCAAATGGTCTTGTTCATTTGAAAATATGCTTGAAGCTAATGTAAGCATATGTCTGCAAGGCAATCCATTCAAGCCAAAGAGAAATCTAAAATGCAAATATATGTTTGCTTTCAAGCCTAGACGTGCTGTGTATACAATCGAAACTATTCAGCATTTATTCAGTGCTAAAAGTGAGCGACAGAGGCTGGGGGCACCCTTAGTTTCAGAGAGTTTCTGAAAACTCAGGTCTATCATCTGTAAGTATCTCTGTTGTTTCTCTGTGACCTGATAGAGGCAAATTTCCAATTATCTCTAAAATGCAGGGTGACTGGGGCACTGAGGCAATCACTCGAACTGTGACTTGATGTGTCTGGAATAAAGTGGCAGTCATATGAAGCAAAATTCCGTGATCAACTTAAGAACCAATTGCAAAGCATTCATATTACCTGTACATTGACTTCCTGAAGACGGGAACTCTTGGATTTACAACTGCTTGAAAAATCCTGTACAGTTTACGTAAAAATTTTGTCACTAGGCGACGTAATGTTTACTCTTTTTGTCAACTAGTAGGCCTTCAGTTTTGTTTTGTATAAGCGATATACAGATGTAGTCGTTTTATGGCATTAGCTACAAGTCCGAACTGTCATATAACCTAATATGTTGGAAACGGCCAGGGATGGTGTATCAGTTAAAATACCAATTTTTAGTCAAGATATAGCAGGATCAATTGTAGCACAGCAGGACGCCCATACCCACTAGACAAAACAATATCATTCGGTTGTCCCTTTCCCAAAATTGCACTCTGAGACCTACAAAATTGCAATCAAGAGTCCCGAAATCTTTTTAATCAGAAAAAACAAAGAGACGTCAAAGGCGAGGGAAGCACAAACAAACTCGGCAAGTGATGCAGTATTTTCTGGTTCCTTTTTAGATTTCTTGAATTTCAATGTAACGTAAGTATATATACAAAGGTGGCAATTAAATGATCATATTAAAAATTACCGTTTCTACTGGATAGGGGATATTACTACAAAAGGCACGGGTGCATGGTGATGGGGCGGAGGGGGTGGACAGGGGTACAGGTCATACTCAACCCTATCTGATATACATTTAAGTTTACCAAACAGGACGTGATGGGCAGAATTTGAGTTCATGGGAACAGCCAAGGTGTTTAAGGTAGCTAGAAAGGGGCACAGTGCTCCGCGATCAGACCGTCATACCCAGACCGTTCTCTCTCTCTTTTTTTTTTTTTAGTAAACACTAATTTGGGAAATATTCATTTTCAATATCAATAAAAAATCCACGTTTTAAAAATATAGAGGAACAATTTTTTTAAAGAAAAGTGAAGTCGATCGCGCCACGGCACGGTAGACAAGCCTTCTCCTATTTTAATTAAAAACAACCCGCTTTGTTACAAGTATAATCGTTTATGTATTTAAGATCTATAATCTTATCATATGATTAAGACCCAAAGGTTTGACATTAAATTTTTAAATAAATTAAAACTGCAATCCGATTTTCTTATGAAGGGGCGTGAGCGCGACGACGGTCTGAGCACGCGACTAAGGGACACCTGCAATACCTCAATCGACCTTCGCACGGGACCGTTTGTTTTTAGTCAACTTTCTTGTAGCTGCTTGGAGCCGAGAAGGCGTACATTTTTGTTCGACCACCCTTGCAAAACTGGAAGGTAAATGCTATCTATTTCTTCATTTGTTTCATAGCACTCAAATCAAACGAAAATGTTGTTTTACTTTTATTTTCTTTACACAAACTACTAAAAGATAATGCAAATTAAGGAATCAAATCAAATCAAAATTATATAATCTCAAAATGCATAAACAACATAACGAAAATAGGTAAAATTTTTGATTTTAATTTTGGCACAATAAAATATTGCTTTAAGTTTACCAACATCGAAAGAATGAATTTGATTGATCTCATTAATTCCAAATTAAAATAAAAATTAATTTTCTCATTTCAATTTGTAGAAAAAAAAACTATAGTAAAGTAGACCATCCACTGTATCAAGTATCAACCATAAAGTGAAATTAACATAAAACTTAATAAAAAAAACAATAATTATCATTTCACTCCACCCTCAGCAAACATAAATGATAATCATCAAAGTCTAGCAGAGGGTTGATAAAGCCATTTCTTCAAAATTGAAGAAATATCTTTGAAATTGTCATCTTCCTGCAATAACAGTTTCATTTTTACTGACATTTTTTGCTGATCTTGTCCTTGTTTGCCTTTTACAAACAAACTCATTACACTGGTTATGAATATGCATATAGTGTTAATCCACAAAAAAAAAAGATGTTTTAGATAAAGAAATTGTTGTTACAAAAGACAAAATATCAACCCCATCCTAGACGTGAGACCCACTGACTTCATAATGTCTCAGTGAATCCAGTTTCTACCTGACATAAACATAATCAAAATGGCAGATAAAATCAACAAAATGTCTCCAGGAGGAATATTGCTAAATAATTGTAATTCTATTCTGGTCAAACACTCTTACTAATTCAAGTGATGGTAGGTGACCACTCCACCCTTCTGCTTGAATGCTACTCTTCTGCAAATATCAGTGCAATACTTATCACTCTCATGTCATGTGATGGTCATGTGATTGCCATGTGATCAAACATGTGACAGACAGTTGAGCATAATGTGATAGTCATGTGATCAACATGAAATTGCAACAAACTATTCATTTTTTTTGGCACTTCAACTTGTGCTACATATAAAAAAATGACATGTTATTCAAACTGCTTACAGTAATGAGCATAAAGTGAGTTTTGTGTGCTTTATTAAAGAGGAAAAATAGTGACAGAAGTAAAACCAACATATGTTTATAGCAATCATTATATTAGTTGGCCATGGCAACATGAATGTAGAATGTATAAAATACTGATGGTAATTTGATAAGTAAAAATAACTTTTTTCTTTTTGATTGTTGCAATAAATATATAACTTTTTCCTTTGTAAATTTTTTAATTTTGGAAAATGCTTGGTTTTTAGAAGGAATACATGTAGTAATGCACATGGAAAACTTTGTATAATGTATATTGCTTTACAGTAAAACAATGAAACAGGGAAAAAAGGTGAAAAAAAAAACAAAGAATCTATGAAATAAAAATGAGTTTTGGTATTAATTACAATTATAACTAAAATAGAGACTAAGAAGCTAAGTTACAATGTAACCCAACAGGGTGTTCCAATTAACACGTAGTAATATTGATTTAACTGAGTTTCTTTGTTTTTAATATTAATTTTTAAATATCTCAAATATTAAAAAAATTCTCCCATGTGTGCGCATGCGTGTTTGCTTATTTCAAATGCAGGGATGCTGAATTTTTTTCCACTTTTTTTTTTGACACAAAATTTCATCAGCTTTACCAGAAAAGAACATCTGCATAATTTTCAGATGCCACATTTGGGTTTAAATTGTTGGAACACCCATAAGGATAGAGAAGCACATCTCTACTGGCTGAGAGTCATTGCTACAGAGACAAAGCTAGATGAAAGGACCTCAGTGGGGAGAGGAGGAGCTGGAAAGATGGAAGAAATAAGAAAAATTAATGAATCTAAGGATAAAAAATTAATGTAGAAATTAGAGGTCTAAATAATCAATCAGGTATTACAAAGAGATTTATCATCTGTTGATGACACAATTGTGGAATTATTATGTAAAAGAACACACAGAAAATTTATTTTTGCTACAGTTATAACTACTCATTAAAATTCAATAATATAGAAAAATTATCTATTTTAACTTTTTAAATATTTCATTTCTGATTTCACAAACACTTCATATATCTAAATATCTAACAGTCAGCATGTGAATAACAACAACAAAAACCGAAAAAAAAAAAAAAACTGTAAGAAAAAGATCCAGACACAATCATGGCATTCCTAACTAAATTTATGTAACAGCAATGTTATGAGCAAACTTTAATTTGCAAATCCAAAAAATTTAAGTTTCCTTAAACAATGTAATGGTAGTAAAAGCTGAAAAAATAATGAAATTTCAAAAAGGGAGTTGGTTTTTATGTCAGAAAAATGGGATCCTGGAACATTTGAAGTTCCAATGATATTATCTTTAAACAGCTGCTGAATTTTATTTGCACTCCAATATTTCTTATGACATTCAGTCACAAAATATTGGGAAAGGTAACAAGTTAAGAATTTTGAATAATTGTCATACATTCCTGTTACATGTACTAAGTATTTGAAATCCCAATAAAGAAAAAAATTATCACTTCAACAATACAAAACAACAACAAGAAAACAGAATCCAAGTGGTCAACAAACTATAACTATGGCAACTGCACACAAATTTCAAAGACCATACTCTTTAAAACATTTTTTTCAAGATTTAAACATTTTAGCCACTCTTTAATGTGTACTTTTTAAATATAGAGCCAAATAAATGTCCATGATTTTTTTCTTTATCTTTATCTTTTTCTTTTTTTCTTTCTTTCTTTTTTTTTTTTTTTTTTTTTTTGATATCACTATCAAAGCATCTCATATGTAAGTCAATTTATCAATTTTGTCTAAAATCTGTGAGCAATTACTGAACAGCATTTTCCACTTATAATGTGCCAACCAAAACAAATCTACTACATGTGCAGCTATAAAGAAAAATCTAACAGTTATATTTAAAAATACTATCTGACAGAACAACATTTAAAAATGAGCACACTCTCCTTCAAAGACAGTTGCCAGAATTCATTCTAAAAGCACATTCTAAGAAACTTTTTGAGGGTCTTAGATACATTTATTTTCCTCAAACAGATTGATTGGAAATCCATCCTCCTGTTGGACCATATCTCAAAATAATGTAATTTTCTGACAATTAGTAGAAAACATATCCAACATATTCATTTCTTTTTTTAAAGAAGGGGGTGAGGATACAAAAATGCCAAGTTAAGTTTGGATTTTCTTATTTCCCCCTGCATTTTCAGAATGGTCTTTTTGATATTGATTTTAAAACCCTGAAATCTAAACACAATGGAATCATGGAAACTGTGCATTCAAAAGATTAAGTAAGGCCAGATAAACATGAGAAATTTAGTTTCTAAAATATCTAAAAACTATCATAACTTCTGAAACAAAGGCCAGTCTTAAATGGCTGGACGAGGGCATTAAATGCCAATTAATCACACAAACACACAGCAAATGACACACAACTACCAGTGACTGTAAACACATATTAAAGTTAGTTGCTATGGTTAAAGTCCACATAAAAACTGGAACACAAAATCCACACAGAGGTCAGCCAATGTCCACTTACTTCTTTTTCTTCCCCTGGTCTCCTACGGGTGGCTTCTTCTTCTTCTTGACCTTCACCAGTAGGTATGCTGGCTCCAAAGGCTTGTCCTGCCATGGCGGCATGGTGACATCATGGACAGCTATAACATAATCCCCTGTGATAAAGAAAAAAAAACATTCCTCGTTATGTGGTAGGCTTTACCTATACTCGCTACTTAATGCTACTTGTTAGTTATGGGCATAGCCAAAACCTCTCATCTTCATGTAACTGGTGTAACTTCATGCAAGGAGTCTGTTATAACTCCTTGCTTCATGTAACCAAGTTTTCTGCCTTAGAAATGTTTCAGTAATGGGAAGTTATGGGCATAGCCAAAACCTCTCATCTTCATGCAACTCATGTAACTTCATATAACCAAGTTTTCTGGCTTAGAAAAGTTTCAGTAATGAGAAGTCTTCTACAGCTTTTTCTTTATTTTTTCATATTCCATATTCATATGTGTTTGAAATAAAATCATCTAGTACACATGTATACACTAGGACTGGGTTCCCATTGGTTTAGATCGATCTATCCGATTCGACCTAACTCCTTGGGGGTTCATGCTAAATTGCTGTCAGGTTCCAAGAGCCGAGCGCACAAAAGTTAATTACCCCCTTACAGCTTTTAGGCGAACAGACATTTAAGTCAGGCTGACAACAATCTAGTGAGTGATAGATCGATCTAAAAATCTATGGGAATGCACTCTAATATAAGCATATACATGTACATCCTTTGCCAGATCTGTCTCTCTCTCTCGATAAATTACCTGGTCTCACTAGATCACCTGGGGTAACCGACATACGAGATTTAGATTTGGTACCAGGTCTACTGCCATCTGGAATATAAGACACATTTCACATACATATGTGTGTGATATTACATCAATGGAAAAATTAATATCATGCCCGTAGCCAGGAGGGTTTCGGGAGGTTCGAAAGAATCCCCCTTTTTGCTGAGAAAAGGTCCACTCTGGATAAATTTGATCTAGGTAAACTTAGGTTTTATGGCAAAAGGTCCACATTTTCAGAAAAAGAACCCCCCTTTTGCAATTGCTGGCTACAGGCCTGAATATTGTAAAGGCCAGTTACTATTATGAGGAATCCATTAGCCTCTCACTCTTGTTATGGTGCAGTAAATGGAAATATAATGTACAAACACTTAAATAAGTACAGAAGGCTTCATGAAATACGCCCTAGCCTAGCTCTCATTATTTACAAATTGTCATTCAATATCACTGGGTAAAATGTACATTCTTAAAAAATGTACTTATGAAAATATATGCTCCAAGAGGTAAAGAGAAAATTATATAGAGAAAAACTTAAAGCAAAAAGGCAATAGATATATAAAGGATCTGTTACCAATTTTGCATTAATTATAATAAATAGATCAATCAGGATGATATTTAAAATTAATTAGTATGTACTGGTATCGGTACCTGTATAATAATAAAAGATTGTGTGCACAGAAAAAAAAAAACATTTCATCTGAAAATGGTAAGTTTGTCTCTGATAAAATTAAATAAGTATTCTAAGCCATTCATTTTTCACTGAATTTTTTCTAATCATGAATAAAAATGACATCCCCACCTCCTCTGCTACTAGCTCTTGACTTTGACTTCTTGGCTCCATCTACTGTAGCTCCATCTAGAACCAAGAAAGGCCGGTACCCAGGTGGAGCAGGGGGCAGGTAGAGGTTATCCCATTTGGCTGTCCCTTTCTCTGTCTTCACATTTGTGATACGTGGGGGCTCTGGACTCCCCTCTAGAGCCTCTTCTGAGACTTCTTCATTTGCACCTAAATTTATAAATGAATGGATAAAATCTGTGTGTGTGTGTGTGTGTGTGTGTGTGAGAGAGAGAGAGAGAGAGAGAGAGAGAGACGAATACTGTAAATGTGCCTGAGACAATGGCTAGCGATAGGCAAATGAGTAAACAGAATTAAAGCAAGTGATCGGAAAATAAGGAAAAAAGAACTTGACAGTGAAAAAAAATCGTTCACACATAACAATATATCTCCAGTGAAAAAAAAATAACTCTATATTCGGTATATATATTGTGAAGATGACAAATACATTCTTTACTTCATCTGGATGTTAGGGGAGACCGGGGCTAGTTGGCCCAGTTAGACACTTTTGGCCTTGTAGAGCCAACTAGGAGTGGGTTAGAGTAACAAAACCGGTTTCAAAGTAAGCCCCATGAACTAAGCTACGTATGCAACGTCATTATTTTTCAAATATAATGCCAGGTGGCTCACAATTTGACAAAAAACGCAGTTGACGTCAGGGGGG